CCCCAAAACCCCAAAACCCCAAAACCCCGCGATATCAATTTGTAACTCTTAAAATGTTTCATATAAATCAGATAATTGATAGAGTATTATTGAAATAAAACATCCATGGCAAATTCATCTAATTAACAAGAAAGCAGCAATCAATTGAGAGATTTATTAGGGTAGTTTGGATTGAAAAAGATAGAGTAGTATTAAACGAATGAAGTGACTAATTTCATCGATAAGCTTAAACATAATCAGGCAGGTTTAAACACATTCATAAGGGAGTTAAATAAGTCACAGCAGATGGCTTTAGGCAAGTAAGCTGCTGCAATAAGCATTAGTTCACATCATAGAACCTTCAACGATGCCAAATATAGTAGCAAGAGCAAATAAAGCAGAAATATGACTGCAGCTTCTAAGATTAGGCCTTAAACGAATGGAGTTACAGGCACATCAGCATAGTCTGAAACGATGAACAGTAGTTTTTTTGGTTAGCGATTGCAACGATTAAAAACAGCTGCTACTACTCAAGATCACCGACTACGGAAGTACGGCAAAAGCAACAATAACGATCAATTGTTGAATAATACAACAGTGGATCTCAATCTTACTTAAAAGCTAGATATGAATCCATTGAGTGAGTAGTTCAGCGGATTGCATGGAGGGAAAAATAGATCAATGGTTATGGGCCATTCTGCTGGCAATCAATCCTATAGATCAGATAATTTGATTTAAGGATCAGGAGGAGCTAATGGCACCTACTCTTAATACTACTACTTTAAGTTTATACATCCTGAGAACCGTAAACTCATTTAAACCTAGCAAAAGAAAAGAGAGAAGTTTATTCCGGAGACTGATACAGAAAAGAGCTCTTTTAAGTAGAGATTTAAGTTATACATGGACCAGGTGAACTAGGAGGAAGAAGATACTTATGAATCCGAACTCAAGGAGAAAAAATAAAAACTAGCAGACAAAATGATGAGGACTGAAGTCAAACTGAATATGTATAGGACCTTTCATGAAGGGATAATTGATACTGATGAGTATGAATAAAAAGTGAAAAATCATCATTCGATATATGAGACGATGACTTAGGTGACTGAAAAGGATAGAGATAAAGAGAAATATAAGAATAGTTTGATTAAAATAAATCTGATTAGATCTGAAACACAGGATGGTAGAAACTCCTAGTAAAAACTTATCAAAATTGATACTTCGACATAATCGCATAAAATCTCTCGAAATGAAAGTCCTCAAAATTAAAAGTAAGCAATTGAGATCATTAACAGTCTATATTTAGAAGTTAAAAATCCAAGCATTAAGATATCATAGAAATAAATAATTTAGACTAGACCATTAAACATAAAGCATCTTTATTACGAGTAAATTAAAGCTTTTTTTAACGACTTTAGGCAAATGAGTAGCTTGTTCATAAGTAATCATTCAGATAAAAGAACTCAAAGTAGCTGGATCTAAACCCACAACTAAAGCAAAACAAGGACCATCACATCCAGATAATCAAGAATCAACATCTGGCAGTCATGGCTGAGGAAATTTAATCAGCTACTAAAACTAAGTCAAAGAAACCACTTTCACATTCTCTCTACGTTGAAAACATTAAAAAGCTGAAGGATCTTATTAAGGGTGAGCACTTCAAGACTCTATGCCAGCAAGAGAACAATAGCAGTATTCAGTTTAGGAATTGCAGACTGACTAAGATAAGACTGAAGTAATACATTGCCTAGAGATATGGTAATTCAATTGCAGACAAACTCATAATGATTATGGATTTTACTAACCCTATAGACTATGCTAGCTTTTTGTAATAACTAGAACAATTTTTGAAGAACAAAGATTTACTGAGACTGGTTGCTTTTGATATATACGACTTCAACAATGATGGCAAGATATCAGATATCGATCTTTTCAAGATATTTTCATTCTTCAGCAAGGGCTAAAACCAGTTGATATTCGAGCAAGCCTTCTAAACCGATTTATGCGCTATTAGTAAGCTTGTCTAAGCCAAGAAGCTTTTAAAAGAAAATGGAGGAGTCTTGGACCCCAGAGAGACTGTACATTCTTCCCCAGTCTTAGTTAAAAAGTATCAGTAAAAATAGAGAAATAGTGAGGACATTCAACTTAGGTACTTTAGAAAAATAAATCAAGAGGACTCTACATTTGATTAAAAAAAGAAAAGGCTTTTCCAGTCAATGTATAGGATAAAGAAAGTGACACAGCAAACTTCAGAGATAGGAATAAATATGTTCAACTAGAGACGAGTAATTGAAGATAATAGTGATGATGACGATGGAAAAACTGAAAAAGACGAGCAGGATTTCTTTGGTCCTTCCAATCATTTCTATAGACATATGAAAGCGATATCAAAGCAGAAGAATAAAAATGGTCCATCTGAGGCTTAGATAGAGGAGTATAAGAAATAACTCAATGCTCAGAATAATGCCTAAAAAGTCAGCAGATCCTCATCTCTAGCTAAAAATACATTGAGCATTTATCAATAATAGAAACTTATGAAGTAAATGCATTAGTAAAATAACAGTAGTCATAACACATCAATTAGTGATACTGTACAAGCTAAGAAGGACTTGTAGAATTAAAACTATTAAACTCTATTGCAAAATCCACTATGGGATGATTTCTTCAATTCCTATATGGAGAACACTCAGGTTAAAATTAACATTGGAATTAAATTGGAGGACTTTTAAAGACTCACCTTTGGACCTGAAACCAATGACATGCCTAATTTCATTATAGATTTCGTAGATTACTTGATAGGGCTGCCAGGGACTTTCAGGAGAGTGTTGAATCACAGCATGAATCTAAAGACTGTGCAAAATGATCACTCTATGAGTTCTCAAAAATCCCCTTACTTGGGTAGTCAAGAAGACATGTTCTTGAGTAGTTCCTAGAATTTGCAAAGCGGCAATCTTCTCAATAACTCTTAGAATATGAATAGCCACCTTCAGTATAGAGAGTTCTAAAACAGATTATCGCAAATAAAGTAATAGTTGAATCAGAATCAGTAGAAAGCGCTCATTACAGCTTTCTTAATCTTATCAGGTAATAAGCCAGAAGAGGAGCCACAAACAAGAAAATCTACTAAGAAGTAGAAAATAGAAGATTTGAGCGAAAAGTATAATCTGATGGAGTATATACTTACTGAATAAAGCATTATGGACAACTTTGAAGTTCTATTTGGAGGGCATTAGATTGATATACTTGCTAAGCTTATTTATCTCTATCTAGCTAAGTGCAAAGAATGCATAAAAATTGGATTTCTAAGATTTGCTGATGCTTTTATGCCCATTCTTGTAAATTACATTCACTAATTATTTATTCTTAGAATGAATTGACTGAGAAAAGAAACGAGTTCATATTTAAACTACTTGACGTAGGCAGTCAGGGGAAAATCAATGTACTCCACTTGATACAATATTTCAAACATATTCAAACTAACTCAGCTTTTGGTCAAGAAATTTACAAGTAATAAAATGAAGCTAATCAAATATAGGGTGTTTGTGGAGTATAAGGAAAGAAACATTTTGATGAAGTTTGGGTTCAGAGCGTAGATTATCTTGAATTTTTCCACATTTAACAGAATAATCAAGCACTCCTGTTTGGTCAATGAATTCTAATACAGATTATTTGGTGCACCCTTTCCTCACTCAGAGGTTTTCCTTTAAAACTATAAGTCACCCTTTGAAATAATACAAATACCCCCAAAGCCAGTTAATATAATTGTAGGCAAACAATAACAGCAGCAGTAGAAAAATACTTTCTACAATGGTACTATAGCGGAATATATAATAACTGACCAGTAGTATGAGAAGTTGTTTGATTAGGCTGAATTAGTAGATGCTCCAAGACTGCTATCCAAACTTAAGTGAAACTAGCACTGATGATAGTGGGTAAACATTGAAAAATACTAAGCTTTAAACTTAATTTCATGAATTAACAATCTTAATCATTTAATTTATGAATATATAATTTTATCAGTAGTATCTCATTTATTCTACTGCTGAGAAGATGCTTCTAGCAGAGCTGAGATCTTATAGTTTTCATCAAACTCATTCTTTAGTCTTTCTAGCAGCATTGTAGGTATCTTCATATTCTTCATTAATGTGTCAAACTTTTATATACCAGCTTTCTCATCCTGTTCATTTTCGAATTCTTAGACAAAGAACTTAATTGGTAAGAAGACTATTTATGTGAGCATCACTTCAAATGGCATCTACAGCAGAGACTCTTCATTCTCCTTCAGTATAGCCAATGATGCTTTGAAAATGGACTTTTAGCCACTCTAAAGAAAGTTGATTTAATGAAAGAACATACAATGATGAAATAGTCCCAGAATCTTTAGAGGACTTAGCAGTTATCACCTGTCTCTTGCATCTAGAGCACACTTGTGAATAATGTTATAAAGTATGGTGAACTATAGTAGCTAGAGTTTATGGTCTCATCCTAAACATTAAGTGTTAACTTGTAAATTAAACTTACCTTGAAGTGAGTATGCAAATCAGACAATACGATGCTAATCAGTCGATCTAGCTGGTAAAAGTTAAGTTTAAGCATAGGCAGTTCTTAATTAAAGAGGTTGCCCATACTGAATTTATCAATTATTTCCTTCATGACAGCATATGCCAAACTCTCACTGCCCATAACCAGATATAAGAAGCCAGCAATAAAGTTCATGCCTTGGCAGTAATCAAGATCTGGGTTTACTATTGCATATGTCTTCAATATGTTATTTAGATTGGAAGCTGAAATCTACTTAAGGTTGTTAAAAGATCTGTTAACGTCTACTTCTATTGCATCTGAGACCAGCTTAGGTATATCTTTTTAGGACTTTTCCTAGTTTCTCCAGTATTCTTGGTTGGCTTTACCTTCATCGATTTTCAGTATGCGGAGCCAGAGTGTTTTTCTCTTCTTTTTCAAGCGATCTTAAGAGGATCGAAGCAAAGCCTGCTCTAGTATCTCTTCCTTGAGAAGCTCATATATATCTTTATTGAGCATAAGAATGCTTCTCAGATCCTCATCTCTGTCGATATATCTGATAGTAATACCGAGTATCTAGGTCTTGTCATTAAAGCCAAAAGCTTTAAGTCTGTTGCCTCTGCGCTGAAGCGACCATATCAATTGTTCTTTCTCAGTGAACATATTTGAAGTCTTTTTCTGATTTGACTATAATTCTGTGAGCAATAGATGTATCCTAGACTGCTCAACCTAGAACTGATCACAGAATATGATAAGTAATTCATTAGCCTGGTCATATGGCAAGCCAAAGTTGATAGTAGACTGCACGAACCTAGAGAGTTCATTGAAGATTAGATTTTAGTTGCTTTTCAGCTCTTATACTTTATCTTCCTGCTTTGACTTCAAAATGCCCTTGAGTGAGCTTAGTCCTTTGCGGAAAAATCCCTTGTCTTTATCGTTGTTTGAAGTACTTGCTCTCTACTTTCTCCTCTGATTGGAATCCTCCATTTTCATTGAAATAATCTCTAAGATGCAATCCTTCCAACTCTTTTTGTCCTGCCATATGTCATGATCTGATAGCAATGTTGATAAATATAGTTTTCGCTTATTCACATAAGTAAATGTATTTTGAGAACTTTCAATTATTGTGTACAGCAATCTGAAATCGCTGACTTGCTCGTGCACAAACACTAAAATGAGTTAAAAATTATGTTCTTACAAGTGAGGACAAATTTAAGAATATCAGCCAGTACCTTGATGCAGTCATAGTTCTGCAAAGGCTTGGGCGAATTGATCTCATTTAGAATATCTGTCAGCACCAGCCTCATTTGCTTATTTTACATCAGTTATATTAACTACCCTTTTTCTTCTAAAGTGATTGGAGTGACTCCATTTGCTAGCTAGACTACAAGGTCGAATGTCTTTTGTCTGTCTTTTTCAATCTAGTCACTGTCTAGCAGTTCGTAGTCTGAATTGTTGTCCTCAGAAACACCTCCAAATACTGAAGCTCTTTTTCTGCCTGCTCGAGGTGTGTACGCTGTTTAGTTATTCCTCTGGCCTTAGTTACTATCCATATATTAAACCTCAGGTTGGTTGAGAAAACTTCTACTGGCCCTTCTGATAGACGCTTCTCTAGCAGGAGGCAGTTGGTCTTTGACGAATTCAGCTTTGTTCTCAAATTGTTGGAATTCCTCTTTCTGCAAGAATGGATTGGTGCTTTTATGCAAATCTATGAATATCTTTAAGTCGGTTTCGCTTGAGATCTGAGCAACTGACTGCAAGAGTTCTTCACCTCTATCTTTGAAACTCAAGCCAAGACCCTCTACATTTTTGGCAAACTTATCCATATGTGCTTTCACATAGTTGATCTGGTATTCATCTCCCTCTTGTATCCTATTCAAGATTGGCTTGTAGTGAGTCTCAAAGTTATCTATGGTGTAATTAAGTTTACTCAAACACTTTTCATACTCCTGCTTAGTTATATCTGCTTTAGCCTACTGCAACTGCAATCTTCTCTCCTAAACTAGTGGGTCATCAGAAGCTTTCCTAGTAGAAATTACAGTGACTTGAAGCATTGGATTAGATATTGCCTATTTCTGTTGATTTTTTATTTCATTAAGCTAGTTCATAATCTAATGTGCTTATTAGGCCTGATTGTAGTAATTCTCCTTTGCAAATAACATCTAGGTACGCTCTTAGTGCAGCATATTCCAAAACTGGTTGCCCTACTTGAGTAGCTCATTATTGGTCAGTCCATAGTGCTTGTAGTAAATCTCTAGAGGCTCAACCATATCTTTGAGAATGAGTTCGCCACTGTCCTAGATTGATTTGACCATTTCATCCAAGCACATCTTCACATTTAGCATGGCAGTGCTTGTTGAATCTACGACGTGATCATGTTTAAATCGCACGAAATCCTTCTCATATTATTGTACAGATTTCTAAAGACTTTGAGAGAAGGTGTCAAGTGACTTCTTATACGAGGAAAAGAAACTGCGTAAAGCTTTCATGAAAAAAGTCCTAGATGTCGTACTTTCATTGAGTGAAGATAGGCAGTCCCAAAGATCTCTACCATAGGTGTATGCCTAGGCATTAATTTACTGTTCACTTGAAGTTCTGCTGTGTGAGTGCTCTGACTCAGTGGTAGTCTGGTCTTATTGCTACTGACTGGATAGAACGCTGGCTAAATTAGCAGCTGTTGTTAGTGATACTTGCTCCATTATAAATCGATTAAATTATCTATTATACATGCGCAATTCATACTCTTTCTTCGTCTTAGGGGTTTTGGGGTTTTGGGGTTTTGGGGTTTTGGGG